ACCTCTTTGAGTCACTTTTTTTGTGGTTGCCCAAGAGATGACAATAAACAACCTTAACTTTTCATAGTATTTTTAAAGTTAATATTGTACCACATCACATAAAATACAAGCCCCTGCACTCTACTTGTACATTAAGCTATCGTTGTCAAATGCATCACATTTCCATGTTATAAATTTCATCACAGAGTTTGTTATAATTTTTGCTTTGAACAGTCACGTATTTTAAAGAAATTATGAGGAAAAGGAGTCTTTTATATTTACCCACATATTTACCTTTCTGAGCCTCTTCCTTCCTTCCTGAAGATTCAGGTTTCCATCTGGTATTATTTCCCTTCTGTCTAAAGAACTTCATTTAGCATTTCTTGTAGCACAGGTCTGCTAGTGACAGATTCTAAGTTTTAAGTAAAAACGTCTTTAATTTGCCCTCATTATTGCATGATATTTTCATTTCATCTGTAAGATTATTTCCAGATAAAGAGTTGATGTTTTCTTTTTTTTTCAGAACTTTAAATATGTCATTTCACTTGATTCTGATGAGAAGTCAATGGCATTTCAAATCTTTGTTCCCCTCATACAATGTCATTTTCCTTTGGTTACTCTAAAGATGTTCTTTTTATTTTTCCTTTTCAACGGTTTGGCTCTGTTTTGATTTTGTTTTTGTTTCTGAGATGAAGTTCTGCTGTGTTGTCCAGGCTGGTCTCAAACTCCGGGGCTCAAGTGATCCTCCCCCATCTCAGCCTCCTGAGTAGCCAGGACTACAGGTGCACGCCACTGTACCCAGCCTCATTTTGGAAATTTAAATACAAAAAGTGAGCAATGGCTTTTTAAAAACATACACATAGGGCAGGTGTGGTGGCTCACACCTGTAATCCCAGCACTTTGGGAGGCAGAGGTGGGTGAATCACCTGAGGCCAGGAGTTCGAGACCAGCATGGCCAACATGGCAAAACCCCATCTCTACTAAAAATACGCAAAATTAGCTGGGCGTGATGGTGGATGCCTGTAATCCTAGTTACTTGGGAGTCTGAGGCAGGATAACTGCTTGAACCTGGGAGGTGGAGGTTGCAGTAAGCCGAGATCGCGCCACTGTACTCCAGCCTGGGAGAGGGAGCAAGACTCCGTCTCAAAAACAAACAAATAAAACATACACACAAGTCTAACATCCAAAATGCACAGAGGAAATGAGCTCCTACTCTGTCCTCCAAGGTTCCCATTCTGTGGTTGAAGTTGCTGCTGGCCTTCGTCCTTTACAACATACATAGGAATCCACAGCTTCCACTTTACACTACAGCTGTAATGCATTTCGTCTGCTTCATGCTGTGTGCACATCCCTCCTCATTCTGATTGATGGTCAAGGACTCATCCCTCCCCTAGCATCAGTTCCTGCCCTACAATGGGACAGTGAGGAGATCAACCAGTTAGGAACAATCTAGTAAAAGGGGCAGGGTGGCTGGAGATGGAGTAACGCTCTGCACTGATGTACTGTGGTATCTGAATGAGGAGAGAAAAAATAAGGCAGAAAATCATGGAGGGCACAGTTGCAAGTTGGGAGTCTCTCTGTGGAACACTGTGGGGAGGACTCTCCTACCTGTTTTAGATAGATCAATGTGCTAAACTAAAGAAAAAAATTCAATAATCAGCAGTCTAGAGACTTGAATTTCAACCTTCTCCCACCAAGATGGCTCATATATGGCAGTAACAATCTAGATCTCTCCAGGAGTGAAGGGAGAGCCTGTGGTAGGTCCCGTGGTAGGCCCTAGAAAGTATCCATTGCTGCTTCTAGTTGCTGCTGTTGTTCCACTTGTGACTTAGTCTCAAAGACAACAGAAGAGCCAGGAGTATAAAGAAAGTGGTTGCAATCCACAAGGCTGTTCTGGAAAATCTGTACATCTTTTGAGCCATGAAGAGGGAGAGATCAGAAATGGATCCAGGTACAGACAAGACCTTTTTGGGAGCATCTCCGTTAGATGCCATTGTCATGACGGGTCTCATTTAGCTCCTTGTGGCTCCTATTCCACCTCCTCCTCAGTATCCTCTATGTTGCCCTTTGGGCACAATTTGTCTGGGGACAGGGGCACCCCCGTGTCATGGCAGCAGCAAATAATGAGCATCCATTTTCTCTTTCCTTTCTGGAACCCTATACATGTTAGATCTTTTTGTATTGTTCTGTCTCTTAGGCACCGTTCCTTATTTTATTTTCCTCTCTGATCTTCAGACTGAATAATTTCTATTGCTTTACCTTCAAATTCACAGATACTTTTTTCTGTTATTTCTATTCTGATTTTTTTTTTTTTTTTTTTTTTTTTTAGTAGGTCCCGTGGGTAGGCCTCAGAAAGTATCCAGCATTGCTGCTTCTAGTTGCTGCTGTTATGTTCCACTCTGTGACTTAGTCTCAAAGACAACAGAAGAGCCAGGAGTATAAAGAAAGTGGTTGCAACTATGAAGGCCACTCTGGAAAATCTGTACATCTTGGAGCCATGAAGAGGAGAGACTAGAAATGAATCAGTGTACAGATACACTTTGGGAGACCGCGATGGCCAGCCTGGTCAGTGATGCAAATCAGCTCTAGCCTCAGGCTCCTATCCACCTCCTCCCAGCATCTCTGGCAAGCCGCCCGGGCACAACTGCATTAAAAACACCTCTGTCAAGCAAACAACACAATTCATTTTCTTCTGAACCCTACGTTGGGGATCTTTGCACAGTTCTGCCCTGTGCAACCGCTCCTTTACCTTTATCTTCCGACTCAGACCGAAACCCTACACTCACCAAACCACACTCCATCCAACCTAAAACCACCCAAGCTCAAGCGATTTCTGCTCTGCCTCTGAGATGGATGAGAGATGATGACAGGTGCTTAGACGGATGAGAGAATTTTTCTGGCGCAGGAGAGACCGACCTTCCACCCCGATCGACGGCTTTGCTTCTTGGATTAGGTGTGAGCTTACCGCTCAGCTTCGCTCGACGGAGCATGAGTAAAATTTATTTAACATTATATTTCAGGCAGGCGACTTTGAGTCGGAGGGAGCTTTTGTGATTTTGCTGACCCACAGGAGAGACATTCATCCTGGGTATAGCTGGCAGCCACTTCAAATCGTTTGTCTCTGATTCACATCTGTCTATCTCTGAGGTCTCGATTGATTTGAGCTGATGCTGGTTGGAGGTTTGGGCACTTCGATTTTTTTTTTTTTTTTGAGATGGAGTTTCGCTCTTGTCACCCAGGCTGAAGTACAGTGGCACGATCTTGGCTCACTGCAACCTCCACCTCCTGGGCTCAAGCGATTCTCCTGCCTCCGCCTCCTGAGTGGCTGGGATTACAGGCACGCACCACCATGCCCGGCTAACTTTGTATTTTTAGTAGAAATTTCTCCATGTTGGTAAGGCTGGTCTCGAACTCCCAACCCCAGGTGATCCACCTGCCTCTGCCTCCCAAAGTGCTGGGATTACAGGTGTGAGCCACCGCTCCCAGCCTCTATTCTGATCTTAAGGCTATTTAGCAAAAATTTCATTTTAAATATCATATTCTCAGTGTTAGCATTAACCTTTGGTTCTTTTTTATGGTTTCTTTTTCTCTTCTGTGATTTCCTATGTTTTCATTCATTATGAGTATATTTTCCTCTACATCCTTGGGCATAGTTTTGGCAGTCACTCTAAAATGTTTGTCTCTGATTCTAACATCTGGTTCATCCTGGAGTAACTGATTGACTTTGAGTCACATTTTCTTATTTTTTCGTATGCCTAGTAATTTTAGATTCTATCCTGGACACTTGGATGAACTCAAACATCTCCGTTCAGTTATTTAAGCCTTACATGGGCTGCTTTGAGTCTGCTCTGCACATGTGTAGTTTAGGTTCAGCAAGAGATTTGGGCAGTTTCTATATAGTCTTTAAGGCTCCTCCTTTGTGAATCTCTCTTTTCTGTGATTTCTCCTCTATTTCCCATTTGCTGTGTGTTTGCATCCCTCCTCCTCACCTCTTTGGTGAGGGAGGGATTTCTACTGTAAGGGTATGGGAATAGGCTAAACACGACACTAGACACTACACAGGTGAGACAGCAGTGTACTAGTCATGTATACTCACAGCCTAGCAGAGGAGAACACCTACTCCACACAGGGCCAGGTGGGGCCTGCACTTGGAAATAGAGAACAACCATGGGTGCAGGCTTTGTACTATCAAGAGGATGAGGTCGCTCCTGGTTCCTGAGGGAAGACGTGACTGGTGTGGATGAATAATTCCATAAGCTGTCAGGGAACTAAAACCTGTGACTCAGGAATAAGCAGGAAATGTGCCTGATCCTTGAGCTAAGGAGCAGAGTGTGGACAGGAACTTGTAGTTAGGTCATTCAAGGGCCTCTTGATTTTACCAGATATCAAGGCAATACATGGTATTAACTTTAGACCATATACCACCCTGTGGTTGTCCTGGATTCCAACCTCTGGCTCTTCAAGCCAGTAAGTCTGCAAGTTTGAAAGTCATAGTCATTCTACATGGTACTGATGAGGGCCTGCCCCCAGGCTAAATGACATTCTTACACGATGAAACTCATGAACTGCTATTTCCTTCTTCCAAGCACGGACTCCCGTCCAGAATCTGCCTTCCTTTGCTTGCTCTCCAGTGCCTTTTGGTAGATTTTTAAATTCTGTTCAGAATGTATAGCCATTATTTGCAAGAACACTGATCTGATAGGAGCTATCTGGCCATTACAGGAAGCAGAACCTTCAAAGTTCCTTCTTAATCTGGGCTGCTTAGAGTCTGCCCTGCACATGTGTAGTTCAGGTAAACTGCTTTGGACACAAGCAGCTTAACCACACAACTGAAGGAATTATCAGGTGTGACTAATTATAACAGGACTTGGCACGGAGTCTTCGGGATGATAACACATGAGAACATTATCCCACAGCTGAAATCCATACCTGGAGGGCTCATAAAAAATTGTTGCATAAAACACTTAAATTTTGATTTAGTACAAATTTAGATTCCATACAAATAATTCATCAAACTTGAGTTGAGCTTGGAATACATCAGATAAAATCCAAGAAAAATGTTTTTTATTTTAGTTTTTACATACAGCTAAAGTACATATGGGGAAAAATTATGGCTATCATTTGATAATGCAGCTCTATATCTCTTCTTAAATACCTACCATCTTTCAGTAGCCTTGCTTGACTTTTACCAATTTTAATCTCTCTTTAATTCTGCCATCATTGCCAATTTGCTTTTATTTATACTTATGCTCATAAGCATTTCCCTAACATGTGTCATGTCCCTGTAAAGACTACAAATGTCTGGTGGACAAAGACTAAAGCCTTGATTTCATTTAAACGTTGACACTGCAGATACATATGTTGATTATTCTTTTTCAGTGAATCCTATCAAGACTCAGATGGACAAATTGGGCTTTAAATCTCTTCAGTACTAGGTATATGGTTGTTTCCTTTGGTGATCCCAGAGGCCTCACAAGACTCAATAGCAGGCTATATATTAACACAGGGCTAAGATTTATGACAGCAAAGGATACAGAGCAAAAGCAACAGGAAAAGATGTATCAGTGGAGTCCAGAGAGGTCCAACATAGGATTCTGTTGTCCTTTGTCTGCAGCTACACAGGAATTCTCTCTCTCAGCAAACTGTAGACACCTGTGGAATGTCTCTGCCCACAGAAGCCCGCTTGAGCCTCAGGGTCTAAGGCTTCTGTGGGAGGCTGTTCATGTATGCATACTTTGCTATGGAATTGGCTATGGCAACCAAAACTCAGGGGCCCAATAATAAAACCAGGTGCCTATTTATCAATCTTGGTGTTTGTGCAACACAACTTGGTGAGCCAGTATGGAATGATCCAATGCTCCAGGTGTATACAACAAAATCATCATCACTAACATAAGGAACACTCCCAGGATTGTAATCCAGGGGTTGGCCAAGGTCAAAGATGGTTCCCCTGGAGACGTGCAAAGGGTAAGCAACCAGAACTGCTACAGTAACTTTTTTCCTCACAAGGCCCTGCGCATCCTTGCTTATCACCTAGTACTAATTCCCGGCTTACTAACAGGAATAATACAAAGCTAATTAAGTCTGGGCATGTGAGAAGATATTTAAACCTATTTTATTGCTAAATCATTCCCTCTAGTCTCTCTACCCTACCCAACATATTCTAGCCTCCAATTTCTATCCTGGTAGGTAATACTACATTTGCATTTTGTTATTCCAGAAGGTGCATAAAGTTCTTTGTTTTGTTTGTTTGTTTGTTTTCTTTTCTTTTTTTATATTTTTAAGATGGAGTCTCACTCTGTCGCCAGGCTGGAGTGCAATGGCACCATCTCGGCTCACTGCAACCTCCGCCTCCTGAGTTCAAGCGATTCCCCTGCCTCAGACTTTATGAACAGGCAACATGTAGGGAGCAGTAGCTTATGCTGCTTAGAAGAGGAGGCCTAAGAAGGATAGAGCTCAAAGTTGTAAAATCTACAGGGTTCGTATCCTTGTATGATTTATATTTGTATCATTTCCCCCACAAACCTGTGTCAGCTCCTGGATTTTCTGTTTCATACAGCCTTAACAAGATCTACCTGTGGTCCAAGCCAAAACCCTAGATGATACCTCCTCTCCCATCCTCTAAATACAGTCACTAAACCCAATTGATATTACCTCCTAAAAATGCCCTGATCTATTTCTTTCTTTCCATATGACCTCATTTTCCTGTTAACTGCTCCTTTCTTGCTTCTCTTTCCCTCTCCCCAAGGCCATTATTCATTTCAGCAGGGTTCTCACTCCCATTCTTTCCTAGAAAGCCAATGCACCACATACTGAAGAATAGTTTTCTGAAAAAGATGTCTTATGAAATGAGGTATTATTACCACTTATCTCTATTTTCGATTGTTTCCTGTATGTTATAGATCTACTAATATCTATTTTACTGGAAAACAAATTAATTACATCTCAAATTGAAAAAATATGTCCTTAGGATAGAATCAATTGCTTGGAGTTCTCTGAGCTGTGCAACAGAAATAATAAGAGCTGCTTCCTGTGCCTCATCCTCTCTTTGCTTTACAACATCTGGAGTCTTCTCCCAGTCTTTCTCCTTTCTCAATTGCTATGTTCAGATTCCTCTTCATTAAATATTTCTGCCAAATTTCATTCCTACAGAAAAGACCACAGTCAAAAAATGATTCCTTGGCTAGTTAATATTTCATCGGTCCCTTCTGAGGGCGTAGGCAGATGGTATAGGTGGTGTTAACATAGAACATCAATCTAAATTTGAATTTTAAAACATCTGATTCATAAAAGTGATAAGAATTGTTCCATATGAACCTGAAATACTCAAGTGAGATCCTGCAAAAGTTGTTAAAGCTCTTAGCAGCAAGTTGAGGGCTATGCTGAATGAGAAAAGGATTACCTCAAACTTCTCTTAAACTGCTAAAAATTTTCCACAAAAAATGTGTTTCTCAGCCAAACTGCCTAGATTAATTCCTAAAGTGAGAAGTCTTCAGAAGCTTCAAATTTACCAATTGTGGTACTTCTTCGCTTTAATTTGTGCAATAATTTATGTGCTGTTAGAATGCTGGTATACTAAGACCAGACATGACTAATAAGAAAAGTAAAAAAAAATTATAAAAGTGGACTAAATCCAAATGTTTGGTGTATCTACTTATCTACTCTTTTCCTGGTACATAATATTACATTTGCATTTTGTTATTGCAGAAAGTGCATAAAGTTCTTTCTTTCTTTCTTTTTTTTTTTTTTTGAGACAGAGTCTCGCTCTGTCGCCAGGCCACAGTGCAATGGCGTGATCTCAGCTCATGGCAATCTCTGCCTCCCGGGTTCTAACGATTCCCCTGCCTCAGCCTTCCAGGACTACAGGCACGCGCACATCACGCAATTTTTTGTATTTTTTTTTTAGTAGAGATGAGGTTTCACCATGTTGGCCAGGATGGTCTCGATCTCCTGACCTCGTGATCCACCTGCCTTGGCCTCCCAAAGTGCTGGGATTACAGGCATGAGTCACTGCACCCACCCAGTTCTTTGTTTCTTTTATATTTTAGATGAAGCATAAATTTTTGTTAAAATAATACATATACCAAAAAATGAAAAACAAATGTGCAAAAGGATAAACGAAGCCTCTAGATATTGCTGGACTATTTTTCCAGAGATATTTAATCTGAATACAAAGTTAACATTGTTTAGGATATCCTAAATGTAATATCATATAAGGAAGTCACTTGGCTTTTTGAAATTATTTTTTAATCAACATGCCAATTATCAGTCAAAGACTAAGTTAGATATGCTATTGCTCTAACCCTGTATTACAACTCTATATATATACACACACACATATATGCACACACACATATATACACACACGCGCGCGCACACACACACACACACACACATATATATATATATATTTTTTTTCTTTGAGACGGAGACTCACTCTGTCGCCCAGGCTGGAGTACAGTGGCGTGATCTCAGCTCACTGCAAGCTCTGCCTCGTGGGCTCAAGCAGTTCTCCTGCTTTAGCCTCCTGAGTAGCTGGGATTATAGGTGCCTGCTACTGCACCCAGCTAATTTTTGTATTTTAGTAGAGGTGACATTTCGTCATATTGGCCAGGCTGGTCTCAAACTCCTGACTTCAAGTGATCCACCTGCCTTGGGCTACCAAAGTGCTGGGATTACAGGCATAAGCCACCGCACCTGGCCAGCAACTATATTTTTTCTTATTGAAAAATAGTATCACAAATAGTCTCCATAAATAAAATTTAAATATTTCAGCCCCTAAATTTTAATTTTAATGTTCTACCATCATCAGTAAGGGCTCAAATAATCATTTCTTTTTCTGATTCTTCTATTTCCCCTTAATAGAGAGCTTTTTAGCTTCTAATACTTCCCATAAAATTTTCCCCCCATCTTTTATATCTTTGTTTTTAATCTAATTCTAGTACTTACTTTAGCCAGATATCAGAAGAAAATATGTGTTCTGTTACTTCAGGCACTTTCTCAAAGTCTTTTCCCTGAAGATATCATTTCTGTGATGAAAAGATGTTGTACTAAAATATCTGCAATGTACACTACAGTTAGAACAAGAAAATGAAAGTACATCTAGACTGCAGTTAATGAACACACCCTATGTTTTCTCAAGGTAACAACAGAGAAAAAGAAATAAAATAAGATAAATTATTTGTATTAAATGAATATTTTCATTTTCAAAATTTCCATCTCATTTTGTAGAACTGGCACATCTAAAATTACTTGATTTAGCAAAACAAGATTTAAATACAATTTTCCAGAAACATATATATTGTGTAAAGTGAGATATACTGGTTTCATGCATAAAACAGAGAATGTCAATTTATGGAAATAATTTTTAAAAATCTGTTATCCTTACCGGGCATGGTGGCTCACACCTGTAATCCCAACACTTTGGGAGGCTGAGGTGGGCAGATCACGAGGTCAAGAGACCGAGACCATCCTGCCCAACAAGGTGAAAGCCCATCTCTACTAAAAAACGCAAAAATTAGCTGGGCGTGGTGGTGTGCGCCTGTAGTCCCAGCTACTCGGGAGGCTGAGGCAGGAGTATCACTTGGACCCAGGAGGCAGAGGTTGCAGTGAGCCGAGATCACACCACTGCACTCCAGCCTGGCGACAGAGCGAGACTCATCTCAAAAAAAAAAGGAAAAAAAAATCTGTTACCCCATGAAAGATAATCAATACTTACCAAATGTTGGATTAAATTAACCATGCTAAAAGCAATTAATGTAACAATAGCTCCAATAAGACCTCATTAAATAATTAAGCACTTCAAATAAATGATAGATTTAGCAAAAAGCACCTAGCCAATAGCATTAGTTTCATTTTTAAAAGACCATTCTTCAGCTAGTGCTGAAGGCATAAGGCATTGATCCTTTAAAATAAGTCTAAAGGATACACAGTTTCTAGTACTTTTGACTGGGTGGTTACTTGAAACATTATTCTTCAGCAAATTCTAATTTTCCTTCAGAGGAGATGTTAAATTTGCTGCAAGACTTCACAGAAAAATATTTTATGATATCTGAGTTCTTAATTTTTTCCCATGGGCCCAATTCTCCCTTCAATAATTGTCAGCCAGAAAAAAGATAATTATTTGTTTAACTCTTAAACTTTTAGGTATATACTTATTTTATGGATTGTTATATGACACTGGGCAAGCTAACTTCTCTGGGTCCTGATATTATCACCTGTAGAAAAGCTGGTCTGTAGGTGATCTGTAATAGTGATCTCCATCCTCTTCCCCATCCCTGCATAGATGATGGTTAGGATACACTACCATCAGCAGCACTGGCTCCTCTAGCTACCCAGTTGGGCTGCCTGTTGCCTGCTCTTCCTTCCTTTGGAGAAATCGTTGATCTAAGATAACTTCAGCATCAAAAAATGACGAGTCTAGAGTGATCATGATATTGAAAACAAACATCTGAAATCATGCAACCTTGAGATGCATTTTCTTTTTGAGACAGGGTCTCACTCTGTTGCCCAGGCTGGAGTGCAGTGCTACGATCCTAGCTCACTGCAGCCTCAAACTCATGGGCTCAAGGGATCCTCCTGCCTCAGCCTCCCAAGTAGCTGAGACTATAGGTGCACACCACTGCACCCAGCTAATTTTTTAATGTTTTGTAGATACAGGATCTCTCTGTGCTACTCAAGCTGTTATCACGTTCCTGTTCTCAAGTGATCCTCCTACCTTGGCCTCCCAAAGTCTGGGGTTATAGGTGAGCCACAAGGCCAGGCCTTTTTTTTTTTAATAAATAAAAACATCTTTTTTGTAAGGTTCTTAGTGAAAATTATAATAATAATAATACATATAAAGGAAAGGTGAAGGCTATGCTACCACAACTTTCAATACATTCCCTTCCTGCCACTCACTTCCATTTGATGAAATTAATAGGAAAATTGCTGTACAACAAAGAGTAGCATCTGAAAGGCACTGTGCCAACCTTTACCTCACACTTTCACAGACCGGAAGAGTTCAAGCCTTTAGTTTACACATGGTTTGGCTACTCTCAGAGGCTAGGCAATTGTTGGGTTTACTGATTACCTGCAAAAACATTTTCGGGTAACACAGCTCATTAAGAAAAAGGGATATCTACAAAGACATAATGTGTCATTTTTATGGATCTAGCTATTGTTATTTGTATAAGTCGAGTAATTTATATGTACTGTATCAACTATTAAATTTTGGACAAATTTTTAGGTTTCATCAGCAAAATCAGACCAAAATTTCAATTTTGAACAAAGCATAAATCTCTCTTCTCTCAATTAAAAACCCTTTCCCCTGCTTTTAGAAAACATAATTGCATAATTCAAACTCCTTCAATACTGTGACCTAGTTCCCCCTCTTGATGTTATAAAGGGCTCATGTAACTATGGTAACTAGCTAGGGAAAATTGAATGTTTTTCTGGTCAGCAATATGCAAAGTATACCATATGTGCTATTTTTTCTCCTTGGGATAGCTAAGGGGATAGTATGTTTGCCTTTTTTCTTGGTTATGAAAATATGAGATCTTATTATACTGAATTTCCTCTTCACTACAGTCCCAGTCATTCACACAGTCCCTTCGTTAAAATGTTTTAGGATCATGTTTTGCTTTTAGCAGTCATCCTAAATGCTGACTAGTACTATAATGGAAAGCAGCAGGATTGACTGTATACACCAGTTAAATCTGTGTGGTCTATCACATTAACTCCACGTACAGGGTGATATGGTTCAGATTTCTAATATTCCTTCTAGAGAATCTGATATTTTCTTAACTTTGTCCTTTTTTTTTTTTTTTTTTTAATGAGACGGAGTTTCGCTTTTGCTGCCCAGGCTAGAATGCAATGGTGTGATCTCGGCTCACTGCAACCTCCGCCTCCTGGGTTCAAGCAAGTAGCTGGGATTACAGGCACATGCCACCACGTCCGGCTAATTTTTGTGTTTTTAGTAGAGACGGGGTTTTATCATATTGGTCAGGCTGGTCTCGAACTCCTGGCCTCAGGTGATCTGCCCACCTCAGCCTCCCAAAGTGTTGGGATTAACAGGCATGAGCCACCACACCTGGCCTAACTTTGTCCTTCAATCCCAGCCAAAGTGTTTTCTTAAAGCAAAAGAACTGCTAAAATGGAATTACATCTTGGAGTATATTTAGATATTAAGAAGAATTAACTCCAGTTTGTAGTGACTTTTATGTATCTTCTTTTTATCTCTATTTAAATTTTTTCTACAATAGCATTACTTATGTAATAATCAAAAATGCTTTAAAACTGAGTTCAGTGGAGATGCAAACTATTATTATTATTATATTTTATTTTTTTGAGACGGAGTCTTGCTGTCGCCCAGGCTGGAGTGCAGTGGCGTGATTGCGACTCATTGACCTCCGCCTCCCGGGTTCACGCCATTCTCCTGCCTCAGACTCCCCAGTAGCTGGGACTAGAGGCGCCCGCCACTACACTCAGCTAATTTTTTGCATTTTTAGTGGAGATGGGGTTTCACTGTGTTAGCCAGGATGGTCTCGATCTCATGACCTCATGATCCGCCCGCCTTGGCCTCCCAAAGTGCTGGGATTACAGGACTATTAGGTTTTTTTAGTTGCTTTTTGTACTAATGAATTGATGTAAAGTTTTAGGGTTTTTCACTATAATCTAAGATGCTTCACTGGACCTTCTAGAACAAATTACACTCTAATGCAGACTCCTAGATTATTAAGGATTTATTTATTTGCATCAGGTACAATTACATTTCTTACAACACACTATCAGTCGGTAACTTTTTCATATGAGGGTTTCTTCTTGAATTTCTCCATATGTAAAGCAGTGATTTTAAACTACTTGAATATCTTCCTCAGAAAAACATTGCTCTCTGCTTCACTGAATTAAACAGGGAATTAACTGCCTCTTACTGGTTTGGAAAAGACCTCATTAACCAAATAAAATGCATGGGATTTGTTGGATCCTGTTAGACCAAATGCAAAAGATTTAATGAGACAACAGGAAAATTTGAATTGTGTAGTTATCAAATGACAGTAAGAAAATTTGGGGAGACAGAATAAATGGTATTATGGATATGTTTAAAAAACTGTTATCTTGGTGGGGCACAGTGGCTCACGCCTGTATTCCCAGCACTCTGGGAGGCCGAGGTGGGCAGATCACTGGAGGTCAGGAGTTCGACACTGGCCTAATCAACATGGTGAAACCCCGTCTCTACTAAAAATACAAAATTAGCTGGGCATGGTGGCACACGCCAGTAATCTCAGCTACTTGGGAGGCTGATGCAGGAGAATCGCTTGAACCTGGGAGGCGGAGGTTGCAATGAGCCAAGATCGCCCCATTGCACTCCAGCCTGGGCGACAAAAGCAAATTTCCGTCTCAAAAACAAGCAAACAAAAAACAACTGTTATATTTTACCTAATCATATTTAAAGTATTTACAGATAAAATGATAAAAATCCAGCAAGAGTGAGGGAGTGTGAAGGGATATAGATTAAATAATCTTAGCCATATGTTGCTAAACGTTGAAGCTGGGTAAACAGTATATGAGGATTTATTGTACTATTACTTTTGCCTTTGTTTGAAAATTTCCATAAAAGTTTAAAAATATTAAAAAGTAGAAAAAAGAAAAGGATTTCATTTATTTGGCCTGACTCAAACAGAAGCTGAATTTTCTCAGCAGTCTTCTTTAGGAATCTTTCACAATTACTTGCCAGTTTGTTTTCAGTCAGTTTGAAGTTGTTGCTCTCCCCAAGAGACAGGTATGGAGGCATACACAGTCCCTGCCAGGGACCTTTTAAAGTCACTGACTTAGAAATTCAAGGTAATCCCAGACTAATTTAGGGAGATCAGTTACTTTTTTTTTTTTTAGGGTTGCTTTGTGGTAGATAATACACTGTGGAGCAAAGAAAATGCCTTTTTGCTTTATTCACAGGATTAAATACCATAAATTAATTGCTAGTTGCTGAGAACGGGAGATTTTAAATTTTGCATTTAGAAGACAAGAAATTCAATCTTGTCTTCTAAGAGGCCCCATATTTCCAGTTAAGTGACCATTCAGAAGGGAAGGACAGTGCTCAATAATCAAGGTCAAGGGTTTAGGGATTGTGGCGATTTTTTTTTTCCCCCACTGAAGTGTTCTCCCCACACAGGCTGCTTTCGCAGGGTGGCAGTAGAATAAGCCTTCAATTAACCTTTTAAAATAAATATGGCAAGAAAAGCATGTCTAAAATAATTCATACATATACATATATTATCATACTACAGTGTTTTATAGTTTTAGATCAGTACCAGCTAAAATATTCTTTGGATTTTTTTGCTTTTTTCCAGCCTGTTCAACATAATTATAAAAGGTGAAAATAATGCTATAAAATGTCTCCTATTC